AAAGAAATGATATAAGATGTGATGATTATGAGGGAGGAGGAGAGAAATTAGAAGTAAAAGATCAAAGGAAGAATGAAAGAGAGAACAATAGAGATTGGCTGTTACCAGAAAAAAAAAAGAGAAAGAGAATCAAAGGAAACAGATATATCAGAGGAAAACTATATGTAATAAACATTTTAAAAATTAAAAATAAAGATAAAAGACTACATAAAAAGTTAAATAAACTAATCAAACATCCTCTTCCTCAAAGAAACTGGTTTGAAAAATAACTTGCTTCAGAAATGCTAGAAATAAGAGAAAAAACAAATGTGAATATGTATAATGTCCATGTACCATTAAAGTCACAATTAAACAGAGAAAAGAAAAAAAAAAACAGAATCTTAATGAAATTAAGATTAATGTTGGAGTTCAACAGATTCTCAGCTTCTCTTCTCAGCAGTTTTAGGTGGGGTCATCTGGAGTGTGATGTTCCACCCTCCAGATTGCTGAGTGAGAGAGTTAATCCTATAGGCATAATTTTTGGAGGCAGTATTTAGGTTTAATCTTCACGGAATGCCAATTGGTCTGGAGATTTTAAATCAGTGCACCTCCAAAGTCCAGTAATTGCAGGTCCATGCTGGAAGACTCCAAGCCAGGGATCTCCCCTAGGTTCCACTCCTTTGGTGGGGGAGCCAATTTTTATTTCCTCTATGTTTCCTGTGGCTCCCACATTTCATGGTCTTGAGTTCAGTCTCCAATTTCTCCTACTGATACCCTTCCAAATTCCCAGCCAGACATGTCTCTCCTGGCTGGTCCTATAAGTGGCCCGATTGGAGGGAGAGGGGTAAAGCTGCATGGCTATTCATGACCAGCTGTCCCTTGTGTAAGCCTCTCTCCATGTTTGATTTTCTCCTGGTCACTTAAGCACACTCTATGTCATGCAGTGTGTATCTACTGGGCCTGGATTTCAGGCCAAATTCAGGTTTGCCAGAAGTTGGCTCCCTAAGCTGCCAGCCAGCCCCCATACTGCAGCTGCAAGATGGTTCCTTCTTTTCTCCTCTGCACGATGCCTGGAGAGATGGCGGCTTCTTTTCTGTACAAGGATATTGTGCAGCACGCCTTTCAGGTTTGTTGGGCAATGTCCTTGATTTCTAAATGCTCCCTACCCAGACTCACCTCCGGGTAGGGAGCATTCTAAAAATGCAGGTTCCTTTAATTCCCTTCTCCCTCCACTTTTCTTGGGGAGGAATTACTCTGGCTGGTGCTTCTGGTCTGGTGGTGGCAGTGGCTATGCTGCTGTGGATTTTTCCCTTATTTTATTATACCCAATCTCCTGAGCCCATGATCTGCTTTGAACATCCGGTTTTAAATTCTGGTAAAGCTTCCCCCCACCCACCACCTTTGTATTTTTGTTCACCTACCTTTTGGAGAAGCTGCCTGTCTGCTTTCTTCATTTCATGCCACTAAGCAGTCAGGAAAGCTACCTCCACTAGTCTACCATCTTGAAAACTCCCTTATTAAGCACTTATTAATGGTTCCAGGTACTTCACATGTTTGCTTGTTTGTTTTTAGCTTTATTACCTCATTTAATTCTAAAAGCAACCGCATGGGGTAGGGATTATTATTCTGATCATATTACAGATGGCAAACTGAGGCTCAGACCGAGTAAGTAAATTGCCTGTAATGTAGTGAAGCAAGGAATTCTGGGCTCTTTCAAGACCTATTTTCTTGAAAAAGAAACTTTGGAAGAATAGGTTGTGCTTGCTCATGTTAGGAAAAGCAGAACCAATGCTAGCAAAGAAATCATATTCTTGCATTCATACTTAAAAAGTGGAATGCTCTAACTTTCTGCTTCTCATGGATTCTTGATGTCCTTCATAATATCTAGGATAACACTTAGATCTACCCTGGGATGTGATGGATGAGAAAAGAATTTTAAAGATTTTGTCCTATGGAAGAGAACAAAAGAAGTAGAAATAGGTTTTCTGACACCTAGGTCTTTCCAGAATTTGATTTACTCTCTTTGTAGTGTTTGCCATATTTTGTTTTAATTTTTTCAATTTATCTGTGTTCATCCCCTCCGCCAACTTTAAGTTGGCAAGCCTCTAAAAGATAGGGACTGTGTCTTACTCAATTTCTCATCAGACTCCATGTGATGCCCATAAGGTCTGGTAAGTCATAAGTGCCCAATAAACTCTTCTAAAATTGATGGTTGGGCTAGACATGGTGGCATAAGCCTATAATCCCAGCAAGCTTGGGAGGCTGATGTAGGAGGACCACGAGTTCAAAGCCAACCTCAGAAACTTAGTGAGGCCTTAAGCAATTCAATGAGACCTTGTCTCTAAATCAAAATATAAAATAGGGCTTGGGATGGGGCTTAGTGATTGAGTGCCCCTGGGTTTGATCCCTAGTACCAAAAAAAATTGAAAAAAATTAAAAAAAAATAAGTTGATGGTTGACTTGCTTGTTTATTGTCTTTTATAAGACTTAAATTTTAATAGGCTTAAATTTGCAATTTTTTTAAAGTAAAATTTTTATTGAACCTTATCATTTTATGTTATTGTCCTTGCTCAAGTCACTGATGGATATTCACTAAACTTCTGGATCTGTGGCTCCTTGCAATCTATTTACTTCAGGAAACTATGAAGGATTAATGGTGGAATGGTGGAAACTTAAGAAAGGTATTTTTTTTTTAAATTTTATTTCTTCTTTTTTTCTGAAAAGATACAGAGTTCCTTATTGGCATAATTATTTAAAATATTCATTTTCCTAACATATACTCAAGGTTGACTACATAGTGATATTGTTTTTACCTAAGCAGTTTTAGAAAAGATGATGGGAGTTTTTCTTAGGCGTGCCAATTTTGTGAAATAGAACTAGCATTTAGTTCATTCTTTCCCTTTTTGTTTTCCTGTCTCTGCATTAAACCATTAGAAAGAAAATTTGGGTCATCTATTTAATGTGCATTATCCTTGATGCTTTTTTTCTTTCTAAGCAGTCATTTTTACTAGATTCGTTGAGGAAAGTGGAGGGTGTCGTCCAGCATTAGCTCTGTGGCATACATCAATAGGATAGTACCTCTTTGGGAGCTTCGACTATGTTATGATGCCACCTTCTCCTCTTTCTTGTCTTTGATTCTGCTCTTTCCTTTTGAAAACCAAGGTCTCTGTGTGTTATGTAGTTTGGGGCTTTATGTAGTTCAGTTGTTTTGTATGGATGGTCCCAACTAAGAGTGGCTCCCACTAAAAGCCCCTTAACTGACATTGCATAGTGATGATTCTAGAACTGGGATGCGGTTTGCACCCTTCCCCAAATTAAAGGGCACAGAAAATAACTTGTTAGTGGGCAATGAACATGAAACAACAGTGGCACACAGTGCTTAGTGAACAGTCTGTATGTGCATTCCTAATGTCCTCAAGTGTCTCCAAGGGAGTCCTGTTTCAGGGTCATAAAACAGAGCGGTGGTGCTGGGTACAGTCATTATGCACTAAACTACCTATCTCTTTCCTTTTTTTTTTTTTTCCTTTTGACAGAAAATTTCCCTTTCCTTTCACATTAATCACAAAATTACTTCTAAGTGATAATGTATGCAAATCTCTCGATTTCTTGGAGTAATTCCTTTAGAAGTCTTAATGGTCACAGATTATCTCTGCTCTAAATGGTGGGATAGTCTTGGAAGAATACGGTCAGTGGCTCCTTATTTTAGCTGATGGCCCTATTAGACACAGGCAGGGATCTTAGAGAAATTTGACTTTGTTAACAGTCTCTTCCAAGGTTTTTGTTTTCCTCCAGCCAATTTGAATTTCAGGGGAAACTCAGCTGAATAAAACATGGCATGTAAATTTTGTTTGATCTTGTTTACATTTCTACTTTTAATGAGGCACAGATTCTTCAACCAGCCGACTCCAACTAATACAGCAGAAAGGCAGTGTACCCTTCCACAGCTGGCTCTTCCTATTCTGGGGGACTATGTTCTTAAAGATTCTACTTTATTGTTGGTTGAACAAACCTGTTTTCCTCATTTTGCAGTTTTTGAGAACATTTCTGATTTCCTGAGAAAGTCTCCAGTGTGCAGAGCAGAGCTGAAGTGGAGACCCGTATCTGCCATCCTTCCCCTGTTAGGCAGAACCTTGGTGGCTTCTCTCATTTGTTCCATTTCCCACTGCTCTCCTGTCCCTATTTTCTGAATTTTTGGTAATGTCTGTGCCATGAGCAGCCTAATTGGTTTTCTCTATATAGCTTTATTTCACTCATCCACTTGTAAAAGCCGTGATTCTCTTGTCTATGGAGGGACCACAAACTCATTCTTTGAGGCTCAACCCAGAAGCCCTCTTCTATTGAAATCCTTCCCACACAAGTCAAATGCTTCCCTGGAACTTCTCCAGCATGACTGTTGGAACCGTTTCTGTGGCAGCCGTAAAAGCTGTCACTACCAAAATGGGTTCACTTATGTGAAAACCCAAACAAATGGAATCAGGAGGTCATCCATGGAGGGTCTTCATGAAGCTGCTTGATAATAGGACCTATTCAAGAGATTCTACCTGAGAACTGCCCTACACCGAGAACCAAGACCTTGCACTAAGGCAGTCACTAGGAGGACATCTGCTTAGCAACGGCCTATTCACCTTGGATGGAGGCTGCCTTTGTTAGGAGTCCTTGTCACGAAGGATTATTGTTCCAAACAACTTATGTAATCCTCTGTATTTTGCTTTTACAAATCTTTTTTTTCCTTTTCCTCCTTGGGTACACCATGTCTCCACCACGGCTCACCATGACATTTGTACCTGGATTTGCAAAACTCTAGTTTATTCCTGAATGAACTCATTTTTTCTTTTGAGTCTCTCCCTGTTTGTTATTTAGGTTAAACCATCATTCTCTCTTCCTTATTGTTAGGACCATTTGTGCACACCTAGTTTTCCCTACCAACCTGTGAGCTCCTGGAAGGAGGAGACTACCTCCTCAAACACTCTTGAATAGAGAGGTCAGTACCCAGTACAAAATAAGAGATTGGTTATTTCTTATTGAGTGCATGAATATCGTCCCTCAGGAGTTATGCACTGACTCGAGCAAATTGCAGACTCTCTGCATCTCTGTCTCTGACCTGGGGCTCCAGAGGTAGCATACCTGGCATGGCAGTAGAAATTCTGGACTCTCCCTCTCCCTTGTCTAGGTTAAACTGGCCAGAGGCTTGTCAACAAGAGCCCTGATGAAATGAAGCCACATCCTTTTATGAGGTAAGAAAATATGGGACAATTAGCTTTGACCTTCATAATGTGTTGTTCAGTAGTTTCAGAACCCATCATGTGGAAATGAAATATTTACTTTCCTGTTTAAATTTTTTTTAAGTGTTCCTTCTTTTGTGACAATTTTACTGCATCATAGAGACATTATCATTATATTTTACAGAGGAATAAAAGTCTTAATTATTAAACTGTGAAATGTCACCAAGCAAATTTTTCCTGCAATCTCATTAAATATAACTGCAAGTTCTAGACTCCAATTTGACTCACTAAAGGCAATGTACTCATGTAACTACAAAAGTTTAAGACATTTAGAAGGATAATAATAATAAAATACTAAAATTCAAGCAATTTATCCAAAGCAGGAAGTAATAAATGCAAAAGCTACTGCTGTTAAAAATTTAATTGTAATATAAATCTAGAGGGAAATGTACAGAGAAGTTTAAATGTCTAAGATACCTGTTATTTTAGCGGTAAAACCTACACACTGTGGGGTATGAGGTGTTTGATAATGATGCCTAGGAAAATTCTTGTAGTTTCTTTGTACTGTACCCTGGGGTAGGATGGCCAGCATTATAGCTCAAAAGAAAACTTCACAGTTAGGCAAATATTACAAGCCAAGCCTAGGGTAACCAGGCAGATATACTGAACATGGCGATACATATTTGAGGCAGTTGACATTTATACAGATTCATTAAATAGTATGCCTAAGGAAACCTAGAGAAAGTATGATAGCAGAGACAATAAGGAAGAAATGTCCAGTACAGAGACAAGAAAATATGTGGCATGC